TACTTGGATTTTGCAAAATTGTTTGACACAGTTCCCCACACAGGGGCTAATGTGTAAGGTAAAGTCTACGGGTTTGGAAAAATCCATATGTAAATGGATAGAAAACTGGCTAAAAGATCGTATTCAGACAGTAATGGTTAATTATTCATACTCTGAATGGCCTAGGGTTGTTAGTGGTGTACCCTAAGGTTCAGTGTTGAGACCCTTACTTTTTAATATATTTATAAACGATATAGGGTCTGGAATTAAAAATACCATTTCAGTCTTTGCAGATGACACCAAGCTGTGTGGTAGAATAAAGTCCTTACAGGATGTCTTCAACTTACAAGCCGACCTCAATGCACTGTTTAATTGGGCAATTATGTGGCAAAATGAGGTTTAATGTTGATAAATGTAAGGTTATGCACTTGGGGGCTAAGAATATGCATGTATCATACATACTAGGGGGGGGTATAACTGGGGGATCCAATGGCGGAGAAGGATCTGGGAGTTCTGGTAGATCATAAGCTTAATAATGGCATGCAATGCCAAGCTGCAGTTTCTAAAGTGAGCAAAATCCTTTCTTGTATTAAAAGAGGTATAGACTCCAGAGAGAGAGAGAGAGAGATAATTTTACCCCAGTACAAATCATTAGTGAGACCTTATTTGGAATATGCAGTTACATTTTGGGCACCAATTCACAAAAAAGAACACTGGGGAACTGGAGAAGGTACAGAGAAGGGCAACCAAATAGATAGGAGGCATGGAGGACCTCAGCTATGAGGAAAGATTAGAGGAACTGAATTTATTGTCTCTTGAGAAGAGGAGATTAAGTGAACTCAGTGTAGAGTTTTTCACCCTGAGGTCATTACAGAGGACAAGGGGCACTCTTTACATCTGGATGAAAAGAAATTTTAAATCCAAACATGGAAAGGTTTCTTCACAGTAAGAACTGTGAAAATGTGGAATAGACTCCCTCAAGAGTTGGTTCTGGCCAGCTCAGTGGATTGCTTTAAACAAGACCTGGATTCTTTGGATACACAGGATATAACTGGTTACTAAAATGTATACAGTTGAGCCAGGGAATATCCAATTGTCTCTCAGGGGATCAGGAAGGAATTTTTTCCCATGCAGAAGCAAATTGGATCAAGCTTTGCTAGGTTTTTTGCCTTACTCTGGATCAACTGTGGGTGTAGGATTATAACTTTTTTTATTTTTAGTATGGTTGAACTGGATGGACTTTTGTCTTTTTTCAGCCAGACTAACTATGTAATTATGGTAGCCAATCAGTTTATAACTTCAGCTTGTTAAATTAAGCTTTGGCAATAAAATCTTGAAAATCATTGGTTTATATGCAGAGCTGCACCAGATTTTGGACCCTCCCGTTTTATTAAATAACCCCTCTTAGTGCTCTGTAATTTGGGAAAACTATAATTATATGAAGCTTAAGATATTGTAGAGACTAAGAAAACCTTTTTTCTTTCAAAATGTTTATTGTGTTTGTTTAGCAAAAAATAAAACACCCAGTAGTGTATAAATAAAGCCAAAAAAAGCTCTATTTGTGTGAACAAAATAATAAAAATGTCATATGGGTACAGTGTTACATGACCGTGCAATTGTCCTTCACAGTGCGAAAGTGCTGAAAGCTGAAAATTGGTCTGGGCAGGAAGGGGGTAAAAGTGCCTGACAGGCAAGTGGTTAAAATGCAAAAAGAGAGAAGAGTGACAGAGAAGTTATCTCAACAGTAGGTTGCTTCTCCTTTTACTGTCCAATCCCAGGGATAGGGTGGAGAATGAATGTGAAAGTGCAGCAGAGAAAGGTCAGGTTTCTTTCCCTGCCAGGCAGGGCTGTACTGTGTGGCACAGTTGTGTAAATATCTGAAATATAAATAGTTTGGCAGGTAAAACAGAACATATACATGTGTTTTAGCTGTGTATTTAGCCTGAGATCAGATGTTCCTGAAAGATTGGTAAGAAACTTATTTGGCTATATTTTCACTAATCAATCAGAGAAGAGAACAAAATTAAGGTTTTATTATACAAAGGTCTTCATATTTTTAAATTGGCAAATGCTATCTTTTTTACTTACTGTGGTTTTCAGTATTGCACAGAGATTCCATCTGTTATGGTGTTAATTGCAATGATACTACTTTTGCATTATTGATAAAGCAATTAATAAATTGTGTATTGTCATCTGTGGTTCCTTCCACTCCTCCTTAACATAAACTTTGAATATTTGCCATGGACCAGAAGTTAGTTGAACTCATGACGTATAATTATTGCTTACTCAAAAAGAACTTTTTTTCAAATTGATGGGGTATAAATGTATGAAAAAGCCTAAATTCCTTATTTTAAAAAGAGGACAAAATGATCATTTTAAATTCAACCTTTGTAATAAAATGTTCCGGTTGCACAGATTTTCTCATTTAATGATTCAGTAGAGATGAGAAAAGTACAAAAGATATAAAATTCTTAAACACTCTGAAGCTTCTTTTAATGAATCCAAAATCTGCAAGCTCAAAAGCATCTCTGATAATATTCTCTTCTTGATGACCTTTTGAATGCACACTCAGGGAACGGTGATACTGACTTAATTACCATTTATTTTGACCTCAAGGCAAATTTTGCAACCTACAGGGGAAATTGGTTCCTGCTAATTAGATCTTTCTGGTTCCAGTCCAGCTTGAATGACAAAATTCACCTTATTTAGTATACCTTTTGATAACCTATTAAGTCAGTGTTAGCTACTTGTACCAATCAAAATTTTAACAACTCGGCAGTTTCCTTAGGGATTGAACAGTCATTTTATCCAATTGTGTTGATCAGAGGAGGCCTGTGATGGGCTTGACATGAAAAGAGTAATGGATTACATAATTTAAAAGGCAAAATTATATGATTCCTTGAAAGAGCACAATTTTATCCCCTGAAATGATGGAATTCCATCGGCTTATCAAGATGAAATGTATTACAATATTATTTTACAACACCAAAGTCATTATTCTTTTTCTGAATTGAAATATCTTATTTCCATTATATTAGATTCTTTAGAATGCAGTGAGAAAAATTATGAATATATCAACCCTTTAATCTATTATGCATGGAAACAGCTTATTTTTATTACCAATAAAATGTGTATGTGAACTCAAATATGTTCATGGATGTGTTTTAGGATATGCAAAAAGATAAAATTCCATAAAGTTTAAAGCTGAGTTTCAGGAAGATACAAGCAGTGTAAGAACCTGAATTTGATTTGGTTTTAGCCTTTTGCAATTACCTAAAAAGCAGAGCTCAGAATGGGAGAGGGAGAAACAGCATGAAGTGTGAATCAGCTGTGCTTTAATGTTCATGTGCTATGTTCACAGAAGGATATAGCAGAGTGGCAGAAGTATAAATTCATCAGTCTACTGTTTTTCATTCACTGTCCAATCACAGACTTTAGGGCAGGGAAAGCTGGGGTCTATTAGACCCCAGATCTTTTCTCTGCCCTTAAAAGCAAGGTCCGTTTAATCTCATGGTTTCCTAAGCCAGTAATGGTTTGTTTACATCTGGTGAAACCAAAAGTAACAAAATACTTGTCACTTGTGGTTACTTAGATCATAGTTACTTGCCGACCGCAATACGTATATATACGTTGCAGTTTGCAAGTGGTTTACCAGGGTTATGGCTAAAGCTATCAGCCATAACCCCAATGTTTTTGTCTCAGTCAAAATTTATCTTTCTGATAATAGTGATAAGAGTGGCTGATTTGCCACTGGATCGCTTTTAGAAGAAGCGGGAGGGGATGTCTCCTGAGCTTACCGTTTTCATCAGTGAGTCTGGGATCCAATCGGGGGTTTTGGCTACTTGTCAAAGAGACGAGGAAAGACCAGATCATCTTTTCTCACCTCTATGATCTAGGAGGACCGAAGTGACGTCGTAACATCACTTCCGGTCTGAGACACATGTAAACAATTTTTTTTTTTTAAGCATAAGATCAACCTTTTTTTTATTTTATGCTTTTAAATATAGAGGAAACATTTGGGGTTTTATAGAACCCAGATCTCTCCATAAAGAGGACCTGTCATCCCTTATTTCTATTACAATTGATGTTTACAATCCTTGTAATAGGAAAAAAAGTGATTAAAAAAAGGTTAGCCATTCCACGAGAGAGTGCAATTTTAAAGTGTGACATGTTAAATATCTATTTACTCAGCATAACATCATTTATCAAGTTTTACAAAAGAATTGGGTTATATACTGTGTTTTTTAAAAATCATTGAAGTGTATTTTGTTTTTAAAATTGCGTTTGAAAAAAAAGCTGCGCAATTACCATGTGACATAAAAAATTGCAATGATCGCCATTTTATTCTCTAGGGTCTCGGCTAGAACAAATATATAATGTTTGGGCATTTTAAGTAATTTTCTAGCAATTTTTACTTGCAAACAAAAAGGTCTGGTCTTAAAGTGTATAGAGATAATGGGGGACATTTGGTCCTCAGTCATATCTATGGTCAGCAAGCAAAACTGCAGTCCCAGGCTCCTTGGTGGGAAAGTCAGGGAAGGCAGCCAAAGGTGGCGGAAGGGGGGACCCCTTCCACCGCCTGTAAGAGTGATCCAGTGGCTAATTAGCCACTAACACTGCTTTTACAAAAAATTCCATTGTCAGCAGAAAAGAAATACACACCGGGATGATGCCTGTAGATGCAGGGATCATCCCGGTATAACTACTTAAACCCCCAAAACATATAATATATATATATATATATATATATATATATATATATATATATATATACACACAAACACTATATTGCCAAAGACATTGGGACACCCCTTCAAATCATTGGATATGGAGGAATGTCCCAGTTTCAGCTCTAATTCATCCCAAAGCTGTTCTATCAGGTTGAGGTCAGGATTCAGTGCAGGTCAGTCAAGTTCCTCCAACCCAATCATGCTTCACTGGAACTCCCTTCACTGAAACTAAGGGGCCAAGCCCAACCTCTGAGATTCAACCCCACACCACAATCCCCCCTCCACCACACTTTACACTTGGCACAATGCAGTCAGGCAAGTACCGTTCTCATGGCAACCGCTAAACCCCAGACATGTCTATTGGATTTCAGGACAGAGAAGCGTGATTCATCACTCCAGAGCATGGTGGCATGCTTTACACCACTGCATCCAACACTTTGCATTGCACTTGGTGATGTAAAGCTTGGATGCAGTTGCTTGGCTATGGAAACCAATTATATGAAGCTCTCTACGCATTCTTGTTGTGCTAATCTGAAGGTCACATGAAGTTTGGAGGTCTTTAGCTATTGACTCTGCAGACAGTTGTCGACTTCTGTGCACTCTGCGCTTCATCATGCGCTCTCCCCTCTCTGTCTTTTTTTTCCGTGGCTGAGTTGTTGTTGCTTCCACTTTATTATAATACCACTAACAGTTGACCGTGGAATATTTAATAGCAAGGAAATTTCATAGATGGAAATATTGCACAGGTGAAACCTATCATGGTACCAAGCTTGAATTCACTGAGCTCCTGAGAGCAACCCATTCTCTCACAAATGTTGGTAGAAACAGAGTGCATGCCTAGGTGCTTGATTTTATACACCTGTGGCCATGGAGGTGATTGGAACACCTGAATCCAATGATTTGGAAGGGTGCCCCAATACTTTTGTCAATATAGTGTGTATATATATATATATATATATATATATATATATATATAGTACATTTCTGCAATACATGTGAATCTCCAAATGTTTTATACCTTTAAAGATCCAGCAAGTACAGAAAAATACTTATTGATCTGCCAGAAATGTACTCAAAGCTTAAGCCCTATTGCGGGCTTACAACACAAATGATTTTTGTGGATGGAGTTGAGGCAGCCGTGTCCATTGTCTTTTATTGTACTACTCAACCTCTCCTACTTTTACATCTTTATGACATAAATGCTCATAACAAAATGCTTCCAATGGTATATTTAACTGACCAAAAGGGAGCAAATAAGTGAAGCTCATTGTTAGGGCTTACATACTGTACATTTTAGAGCAAATGTACAGAAATACAAATCCTCTGGCATGTAAACAGCTTCATCATAATTTAGCTTTCTGCATGAAATTCAGCTTTACATTGGAGCTGCATGAAAACACAATTAAAAATATCTGTTTTCTGCTTGCCTGCTAAAGGATTTGTAGTTATGTTCAGCCAATCTTTTGATATAAACAGCTCTATTATAATGCAATACCAGGAAAGTAATACACTTGTCTTCTGGCTCAGAAATGTAGCTTCCTATATTGCTACATTATCCATCTTCAGCCTGCTTAAAAACCTAATCAATATCATCACCTCTGTCCATATAACTGTCAGGGTCCTGTCCACGGCAGAAGTTCTAGAAGATCTGGCATTTCTGCCAGTACCCTACATGGCCGCAGAAGCACACATCAGCCTCAGTTTGGTGCCAGACGGCCTGTAAGGGACCACCAGGTGGTACCACTAGCACTCCACTGGCCAGGCGTCCCCAGCGCATGGTATCTAAGCCCCAGGGTACGTGTTCACCAGAGCCCCTGATGGTGGGGATGGACTTGAAGTACCCCGAGACCAGGTCGTGGCTACTGAGCACGCCTGTCAGTGGTAGCGGTATTTGCCAGGGGCTCCCGCAGCGAAGAGCCTGATGTGAGGAGGTCGGGTGATCCCGTCGGGATGGATGGATGGATGGCTGAGCAAGTGCAGGGGTCAAACGGGCCGGGTCGGTAACAGTGGGGACGGAGCAGTACAAGGCAGCGGGCAGAGAGTAGTCGGGTCACACGCCAGGTCAGCAACGGAAGGTCAGATCCAAACGGGGGCATTCAGGAGAGAGGTCAGGCAAAGCAAGGGTCTGGGCAGGAGAAGGCAACAAGGTCAGGTACAATCGGGTCAATAACTTACTTAGAACAGGTTCGCAGATACAGGATACAAGGAAAGACCAGAAGGCACGAATGACAGCTCAGGGCCGTTTAAATATCCCGCCCTGCGCTGCCATTGGTGCCACGCGCGCGCCCGCGCGGTCCCTACTGCGCATGCGCGCAAACTCCCTCGCCGCGGACGGCCAGGTCTCAGTGCCCGCATTCTGACACGGGGCGGTGCACTGCGCCTGCGCCGAGCCCGTTGCAGCGGGGATTCCTGACATTGCCCCCCCCCCCTACGGGCAACCTCTGGGTGCCCACCCGATCTCTCCACCACGGGTGATCACGAAGGAACCTCCGGACAAGTCGGGGTGCATGGACATTATGGGCTGGTTCCCATGAATTATCCTCAGGGCCATAGCCCTTCCATTTAATAAAAAATTGGGTCTGACCCCCCCTCCTTCGGCACTTCAGGATTGTTTCCACCTCAAATTCTTCTTCCCCTTCGACCGTTATGGCCTCCAGAGGTCGAGATTCTCGTTCTGGGAAGGCATCGGGGATTACTGGTTTCAGCAAGGACACATGGAAGACCAGGTGTATCTTGAGTGTGTCAGGGAGGACAAGTTCGTATGCCACCTCATTGACCGCCCGCTTTATGCAAAAGGGGCCTATGAACTTTGGTCCTAATTTCTTCGATGGACATAGCATTTTCAAGTTCGTTGTTGCCAACCACACTTTATCCCTGGGCTGCAGCACCAGGTCCCCTCTTCGTCTTTTGTTAAACGCCTTCTTGTAGTCCTCCTGGGCCCGAGCAATAGCCTCCTGTAGTATCTTATTGTTGGAGGAGAAGAAAGCTAGCGTGTCCTGTGTCGCCGAACTGGGCATTCAGGAACCAAGTCAGGGAGAAAGACAGGGTGAAATCCGTAGTTTGAAAAAAAACGGTGATTGCCCTGTTGCGGAATGGTTGGCGTTGTTGTACGCAAACTCCGCCAGGGGTAAGAGTGGTAGCCAATTATCCTGTAGGAAGGATGTGTAGCAACGCAGGTACTGTTCTAGGGTCTGGTTGGTCCTCTCGGTCTGTCCATTGGTCTGGGGGTGGAACGCAGAGGAGAGGGATAATTTGATATCCAAGGCCTTGCACAGTGCCCTCCAAAATTTAGACGTGAATTGGACCCCTCGATCCGAGACGATGTCCTCTGGGATTCCATGTAGTCTTACAACTTCCTGGATAAAAATTTGCGCAGTCTCAGCTGCTGACGGAGTCTTCTTTAACGGTAAAAAGTGAGCCATTTTCGATAACCGATCAATGACTACAAGGATCGCGGTGTGGTCTTGAGACGGGGGGAGCTCGACTATAAAGTCTATTGCGATCCTTTGCCAAGGTCGTTCGGGGATCGGCAAGGGCCGCAGCAGCCCCCAGGCCTTGTTCCTCGATGGCTTGTTCTTCTGACAAATGGTGCAAGATTTTACGTAGAGCCTGCAATCCTTGGCCATGTTTAGCCACCAAAAGGAACGTTGGAGAAGTTCCAGGGTCTTCGCTGGGCCAAAGTGTCCCGCCATTGGATGGTCATGAAACTGCCCCAAGACAAGGGTTCGGACCTCTTCGGGTACCATGATCAATCCTTCCTTCCAGGAGGAGTCCCCCCTTGTTTTGGAGGGGTACCCCAGCTGGGGTCACTGTGGTCGTGGATGCATCCATTAGTTTGGACCAAGGTCAGTTTGGAGAGCCAAGAAATTCCCTGAGGACAGAATAGTATCAGGTACCGGTTCTTCTTTGGAGTCTTCGAACATGCGTGATAGCGCATCGGGTTTTGTATTTTTGGACCCAGGCCTGTAAGTGATATGGAATATGAATCTGGAGAAAAACAGTGCCCATCTTGCCTGCCGCGGACGTAACCGTTTGGCAGTCCTCAGGTACTCGAGATTTTTATGATCAGTGAAGATCAAGATGGGGTGTGAGGCCCCTTCCAGCAAGTACCTCCATTCTTCCAGTGCAGTTTTGATGGCTAACAACTCCCGATCACCAATATCGTAGTTCTTCTCGGCTGGGGTGAGCTTCCTTGAGAAGAACGCTATGGGGTGAGTAATTCTTTGGTGCCTTTTTTCTGGGACAGGATGGAACCCACCGCATTCTCAGATGCGTCTACCTCCAGTACGTAGGGCAGGGAAGTGTCTGGATGGCCCAAAATGGGTGCCGTGGTAAATAGTTTTTTCAAGGCCTCAAAGGCTTCCTGAGCCTCCGGCGTCCATCTGAAGCGGGTTCCAAGTTTGGTTAGTTGAGTTATGGGGGAGACCAGACCCGAGAAGTTCCTAATGAATTTCCGATAGAAATTCGCAAAGCCTATAAAGCGCTGGATGCCCTTTTTGTCTGTGGGCACAGGCCAATCCAAAATTGCAGAGACCTTCTGAGGGTCCATTGCGATTCCCGTGGTGGAGATAATCAACCCCAGAAACGCAATGCTGGACTGCTCGAAACTGCACTTATCTGCTTTGGCGTATAACCCATGCTGGCGCAATCGACCCAATACCTTTGTCACGTGTATTCTGTGATCCTCCAGAGAGGATGAAAAGATCAGTATATCGTCTAGGTAAACAATTACAAAAACGTCAAGGTAATCCCGAAAAATGTCGTTTACAAAATGTTGGAATGTGGCTGGGGCATTGCACAGTCCAAATGGCATTACCAGATATTCGAAATGCCCAAACCGGGTACGAAATGCTGTCTTCCACTCATCCCCTTCCCTTATGCGAACCAAGTTGTAGGCCCCCCTGAGATCAAGTTTAGTAAATATTGCCGCAGCCTTCAGGCTCTGAAATAATTCGGGTACCAATGGCAGTGGGTAACGATTTTTAATCGTGACTCTGTTCAGTTCACGATAGTCAATGCAGGGTCGCAGAGATTTGTCTTTTTTCTCTACAAAGAAGATCCCCGCTCCGGCTGGTGAAGTAGAGGCACGGATGAACCCCTTCTGGAGACTGTCCTCTATGTATTCCTTCAGGGCCCCCAATTCTAGCTCAGACAGGGGAAAAATCCATCCAAAAGGGATCTCGGAGCCGGGCAACAGATCAATTGGACAGTCATACGGGCGGGTGGGGGGGGGCAAGGTGTCTGCCCCCGCTTACTGAATACATCTAAGAAATCGTGGTATGCTGCGGGAATAACCTGTTTCAGGTCGGAGTCTCCCTCGGAGCACAGGAGGACCTGGGGGGCTGCTGAGCCCGCAGTGTGACAGTGTTCCTGACAATACGGGGACGGAAACAAGATAGACCCGGTTTCCCAGTCAATTTGGGGGTTATGGGCCCGCAACCAAGGGAGTCCCAAAATGACTGGAAAAAGAGGTGACGCAATGGCATCTAGGCGGAGGAATTCCTGATGCTGGTTAGCAATGGTAGTGGCGATAGGGGGAGTTTCCTGGTTAACTACTCCTGACTTTATCTGGGAGCCATCTGCCAGAAATATGTTAAAGCCCCGTTTTCTGGGCTGGAGGGGAATCCCCTGCTGATGAGCAAAATCTAAATCCAGGAAACAACTGCATGCCCCTGAATCAACTATGGCCGTCACCTCCACGGTCCTTTCTGGAAGCTGAAAGGAGAGGGGCACCACTAAGTATTGGGACGGACTGACCTTGCCAATAGCCAGAGAAGAAAAATAGGTGCACTTACTCATTTTCTGAGGGCAGGATCGTACCATATGATCGGCTTCACCGCA